TCATGTTTAATAACATTCATGAAAGTCTCAGATTTCATCTATAACTTCTATAGTTGACAAATAGTCTAAGCTCTGGATATGCAGTTGCCTCCATCCTACAATAGGAAACTAACATTTTACCTCCTAAGACAATGCCAGATATCACTGCCATATGGTGCCTGTCATTAACGTTGTCATTATTACTATCGGCATGATCATCACCCTCAACATCATCCCTTAGTCAATTTTCCTTTACAATTCTAACTCTTCAAATATTATGACCTTAAAATTTCTGTGTCTTTATTTCTTTCATGAATCTACTTCAGTCAATCTTATTTTAAAGTTGAGACAATAATATATAAAAATAGTTTACAAAGGTTTTCAAAACTAAGAAGTAATTATTACTTTTTCTATTATTAAACACAAGTTTTGGAAGGCCATTTTATTCTTAAAATGAACAACTACAATGTTATATCCCTAAATCCTCCCTCCCCCATTGAGCTCAAAACATTCTTATATATCAGCATGTGTTAGTATAAAAGGAAACAAAAAAATGGATTTCAGTAGATGGTGTCAAGTGTCTTACAACAAATCTAGAGGTGAAGGATAAGTAAGAATAGCCACATCCTTCCCTCATCTCCACTGTTTACATAAAAAGGAGAGATATCTCCACAGAGAAGTCAGAATGCATATTCTGTTGGCTTGTCTTCCTTCCTTTACAACAGATAAGAGATTAAAATACATGAAGTGATTGAGAGAGGCAGATGTGGGTAATATTTTTGGACAAGACCATCTCACATTTTTTGAAAAAATATGTTTCTTAATTTTAACTGAAAATATTGATATAACAAAAAGACATTTAAAATAACAGATTTGTAGAAGGAAATATGCAAAGCCTAGCAATATAAATAAATGAAGTTTATGAATAATGAAAATGTGCTGTATCACTTTGGTTTTCATATATTTGAATTTTTATGTTCTTTAAAATAGTTATAACAGTAATAACATTAACATTCAAATAATTAGAAAAAGTGGCTGTGGATTTCATTTACAATTCAAGTAATTTTATCTTCACCGTTTAGGAAAAAAAAGTCATGACAGAAACTGTCCAAAATCCCCAAATATGATTTTTGTATATAATTTAAGATATCAAAGTGAGCTACTTTTACTCACCATTAGACAGATGGTTTTTGTAGTGAATATCTATGTGTGTATTTTACATTCGCAGTGCTTGTAGTAAGAGAGCTTGTGGATGTTTCCTACATTATACAATTAAGATATAATGCATTTCATATTTTTATGAAATTGAAGTCAAAGACTTGATCTCTGCCATATGTTTTTCTCTTTAATTAAAACGTGTCTACTTTGCCTATTTACATTACAATTTAAAGGCAAATCCTGGCCCTAGTTAGAAATGGAACACACTTCTGCTCTACTCCCATACCCTGTACAAGTCACTGCTTCCCCATCACTGTGGGCATCTCCAGCTGTTTGGCCTCTCCCTGTCACCTGGTCCAGCCTGAGTGTTTAAACTGAAGGGCCTGGTTTTTTCAAGTCCTTTGGGCTTTAATTCTGCTGCTATGTGCAGCCATCTTGGATTCTTACTTTCCTTCAGGCTCATAAAAATACACAAAAACAAACAGAAAATCTTATCTAAATGAAGAGGGCAGAGGCTTCCAAATATTTATGAAAGAGGAGAGCAGAGATTTTAGATAACAGTTCAGTCAACTCACAATGGGAAATACCTTGGTCTCTGAAACTCTTTTAGTCCTTTTTGTGCTGACATACTTCCTAGGCTCCATTAGATTCCTTGACATCTCTCTTTTCAGTACTTGCCACCAAATCCCTGTCACAATTAAGGCAGACAGCTTTTTACATTCTTTTGTAACCCTCAGCTTTCTCTGTTTTTCAAATTTGGAAATTGCATTCCCTAGAGATAAGTCTATTAAACAGACAAACAGGTTGTCTCCCTAAACAACCTGTAAAAGTGAAAAATAACTGCCAGCCCTTGATTCGGCTCAAATATGAGGCAGTCATCTCTATTTTCTCAGAAGGGATGCGAAGATAGTGTGATTCAGGGTCATCACTGCAAAGGTGACGAGATAACCGCAGCATGATAGCTTCTTACGCTCCCTCACTTGTGACAAAGTTGGAAAAAGAATCATGGAAAGTCCATTTCTTTAAAATATACTGAAGTAGGACAGATGCTTTGTCAGGTACTTACCCACAGCATGGAAAGTTGAATGTGTGTTTTGCCAGAATGGAAATCTGCCAGTAGAAATAAGATGGACTGGGCATACCCAGAACTGTGAAGCCTCAAGGTGAGTATTTGGAGTTAGGAAGAAGATTATAGTGAGAATTAGGTATGAACGGATATTTTAAAGAAAACAAATCAGTATGGCAGCCATGACTGATTTAATATCATCTTGCTTTGAAGTCCTACCATGCTTTTGTTTTTCTGTTTCCACTGGTTCTATCATGTTGTATCTTATTGGCTTTTAATATGCTTGATTGTATAATTTTTCATGGAAAATAAGATAATATAGTAGCTACTGTTCATTTTCTGCTATTTGGTTCTGAATGCCCCATAATACTTTCATTCTCTTGAATGTTTTTATACTATTTTGTTATGCTTGATACTATTGTATGTGAAGGTATGCTCAATTGTTTCAAAGAAAGAGACATTATGGGAGCTACTGTTAATATTCAGTTGTCTTGTGGTGAAGTACTGTGTTGCTTACATTGTTCTGTTCTGATCTGCTTTGTTCTGTCCTCTTTTGTCTTAATATCTTTAAAATAAAGAGAGAGAAGTAGGTCAGATATCTAGTGGGGCCTGAGCATGCAGGTTAGGGAAGATGGGACAGAGAATGGAGATTGTGGTCTCACTGTTAGTCTTAAGGGTCTGAAAATCAGGGATGAGTAAAACAAGGAGAAACAATGTAAAACATACTCTCTGGACCAATGAGGCTTTGTTGTGTGCAAAATAAACAGCATGTGAAGAGAAGGAAGCTGAAATATCACAAAAGCTACTGTAATACAGAAGAGTAAGGATAAGGTAGATTGGCACAGGTTGGTCAGCGTGAGCCTATGAGAAAATTCATTGATATGTTTGATGAAATGGAAGAAAGAGTCAAGGAAAACTCGAGGTCTGAGACCTAAACATTGGGAAGAATGAAAATTCCAATTAATGATATGAAGATTCGTTTAAGGAAAAGAAATTCAGGAAAATCAGATCCTGTCATTATAAGTTAGTGTCACCTGAAAAACAAAATGGTGTGATCATATAATATGGAACATGTTATGATTTTTCTTACAGTAAAAGACACTACCAAACACTTTCAGAAACACACTTGTGTCATTATTTTTGCTACTTTAAGCAGTTTTGAAGTCTTCTTTTTAAAATGTTTTTAGTTGTGCTGTGGTGTCTGCTTCAATGTTCTAAATCAGTTAAAAACATTCGCTTCTCGTGGTTCTTTAGGGAAGGTCTAGATGTTTCATGGCTTCAGGTTCAGTGAATAAAGTGGATGAGACATATTCTAATATTTTTATAAGTCTTCCTTTCTGTTGAATGGCACTCAGCAGCAGCAGTCACTTTGTGTTTAATTAGGCCTGCAATGATAGTCATGAACTGTTTCAGAAAGTGACAAGGATGATAGAATAAATGTTTGAATTAAACGAAAGTATTTTGAAGGGGACTAATGGTGATGTGTTTTTTATGGAAATAAAATTTTTAACATGCTCCGTACTTTATGATCACACTTGGTATATCCAAGTGGCAATGGTAGATCGATGATGGCGATACAGATCTGAAGTTCCAGGGAGACAGTGAGAAAGAAGGTATGAATTTGGGGGCTGTGAGATGCTCTTGGTAACCACAAAATGGGAGCGGGGTGTGAGGGTGCAAAGGGGAATCGAGGAGTCATTAGGGACAGTCTTACTCCACTTTAGCCTTGTGGAGACCCCAGGTTGTCCCACAAGACCTAGGTCAGTAGAATGATAGGGAAAAGTCTAATTAAGAATGAGAAAGAGGGAAGGTAATACTTCTGGGGGAAAAAGTAAACATGAAGCAATTGGTGGAAAGAAAAAGGGGCCTAGAAAATAACTGGTTTTTATTTCCTGGAAACTGATGCTGAAAGATTGCATATGAAAGAGCAGGAAGCAAGGTCATAGCTGAGGATTCTGTATAAGTGGGAAAAAAGAAAACAAAGAACCAGTGATTCCGGAAGTTTGAAGACAGAGTCCTGAGAATCATGAAAAGTTTCCTCTGATCAGTCCTAATTTCTCCATGAATTAGCAAAGGAGTAAAAGCCAAGAGGAAAATGAGGGCAGTGCTGAGGGAGTGGGGAGAAGGACAAGGTGTGAAATAGAGAACTAGGAGAGTGAGGGATCAGTGGGCAGTGGGTAGACATGGTGAGAGGACCAAAATGCCAGCTTGTCAGGAGCCCAAGAAACAAGGAAAGGGAAAAGAATCAAGATTATATATGCAAATGTATTTGCAAATTTCCCAGAATTTATTTATCACATATTACAAATATGTACCAATAAAAATGTTTTAAAAACAGAAAAGTGATGTGCATGCACACTATGCAAAAGGTTTTAAGGCACAGAACTTAAACTTGTCACTTGGAATTTACTTAACGATAATACTAAAATACCCAAAAATATTTTTTGTTGTTTTTTAAAACGTATGTCAAGATGATAGAAATGAATTCTGCATAAAGATAGCAGCAAAATGAATCTCTAAAGTCAAAGACAAATACATTGCGATGAAGCAGTTTGTCTTCTGAATTTAGTGATGCCAAAATGTGCTAGAACCAATTATATTACTACCAAAATTAAGATTACTTCATAAATGTCAAATTGAACACTCAAAATATGTTCCAGTACAAGTCTCATTTCCCAAATACATAGAATTCCACAGTTATTATTTTGGTATTGAATTCTATCTTACACTTTATGATTAGAGTAGTGATTCTGTATCATCAACTCATTTGAAGTCCATTCTTTTTTTTTTTTTTCCACATCAGATGGGTAATGTTCCAATGCCGTAACAAGGTTCAAAGGAGGCAATGTCATTCATGAAGATGAACACCCAATCAACACGCTTATGAACCTGAGGAACTGAAGTCCATTCTTTATTCATAACCTATCAACAGTCTATTATTAGGAAAAAATGTACATACTCTAATTGAGGGTTAGAAGATAACCATTATACCACACTTATTTTTGTTTTGTTGAATGCTTTAAACTTATTGCTATATATTTGCAAAGTTGATTTATCATTTTAATATCAATGTCTCCAATATGGTAATTGAGTTTGTAAATTTCAATTACAATTTTTAGTTTTAAGATTTGTCCTTTTTGACTGAGATAGAATTCTAATAACTTCCTTGAGAGTTGTTCCTTTCATTAAGTGAAGATTAAAACTGACATTGTTTTTGGCCTAAATATTTTTGCGATTCTAACACTGCTGTATGGATTCTTTTTGCTTCAATCACTTTCTGGGTTTTAAACCATTCAATTTTGGGTCATATTTATGTACATATCTTACTAACAAACTTACAAGTAAAAATATTTCTTAAAAATTATAATAGAGCTTGTGAGTTTTTAACATATCTGTGTAATGCCAAATTATTTTCCAAAGAGTTTTTATCACTCCAAGAGTGTGTATACGTGTGTGTGTGTGTGTGTGTGTGTGTGTGTGTTTGTGTGTGTGTGCGTGCACGCATGGGTGTGTAATACTACTGAGGATTGAAGCCAGTCTCTGTATGCTGGGCAAGTACTCTATCACTAGGCAACATTCTCCAACTTCTGTGAACATTATTTAATTTTGAGATAAATTTTTGCTACAGTTCCCAGGCTGCCTTCAAATTTGCTATTCTTCTGCCTGTGGGATCACAGATGTGTGCTGCCATGCTAACTTCCAGGAGCAGTTTGTAAGTGTGCTTCTAGGTCTGCAATCTCACTAAAATTTGTGAGGGCCAAGCTTTAAAAATTCAAATATCACATGGGTAGAAAATATTGTGTCTTTATACTACAATTTGAGTAATTTGATAACTAATAAATTTGAGTGTATTTTCACACATGAATTCATGTCTTGTGACATGACTTGTGACACAGTCTTGTGAAATGACTTTTCACTGTTTTACATATTTTTTATTAACTTTAAAATATGTGGAATTATTTATACATTTCAGGCACCATTGTTTGTTAATTTCATATAGTTTATTTTTTCCCATTTAGTGTCTTTTAACAGAGAGAAGTTCTTAATTTTAAGAGTTATGTTATCTTTTACTTTGATTTCTTCACTGTATATTATTCAAAAGATCTATATATATATATGTAAATGAGATTATTATTATTTTTAACAAAATTGTTTACTTTCTACATTAAATTTTAGTATATTTAGAAATATTTTGTACATTATATGGTAGGAATCTAATTTAAATGTTTTATCCTCAACCTAGAAAACCATGATTTCAGTATTAATTATTATGTAACTTCTCCTTTTTTCTCCTTAGGCACAAGAACAAACTTTGTATATTCCAGATATAAAAAATCTATGTACACACATATGTATGTTACACATATGTGCTACTCAGTATGGTTATTTATTACACATAAAATATTTATGTATTATTTATACACTATCTTCTGCAATTTTATGAGTTTACACTGGCATAGTTTGTAGGTGGGACATTATTCTAGGTCACCATAATGGTAGAAGCCTCTGTAAAGTGCTTGATAATGTGCAGAAAATATCACATATTCCAAACTTACTAAAGATATCTACCTGAAATCAGCAGCCCTCACCATACCTAATGGTAGTTTTGCCACTAAAGAAGCAAGGTAAGTTATTTATCATTATTACCATTATTGGTTTTGCTATATTCCTTTACTTACTTAAATACAAGCACAATTTCCCTAACTAGTGTGTTTTAAAGTATTCTCCACATTTGAAGGTCATGGATTCTGGATTGCTAGGTAATCCTGCCTAATCCTCCATTTGTTTTCAAAAATATTCAGATTCCTAGTGGTAGCTAATTGAAGAATTTATGAGAAACTATAGTAAAGAAATTGTGGCTGGATATGGTAGAAAATCTGTTTAAGCTGTTTTGTTCTTATTTTGAAAGAGTAAATGTTGAAAGGCTGTAACTATGACTCAAAGATGTCAGGAGCTCACAATTTGTGGGAACACTTGTTTATGGATATGAGAAATGTAAAGAGCACAAAATACTTTAGAAGGAAAGCACACCAGTAGGAGTCAAATCCAGGCTTCATTCTGGCCCCGGGACCCAGCGGGGCAGCATTCTGTTCCTCCTACATTGCTGTCAGTGCAATCCAGAAGGAAGCACAGCCTTGTGAGGGTCTTTCCATTCACTTCTGTTAGAAAGGAAACTTATGGGTTCCTGTTTATCTGAAAGTGGCTTGTCTTTATGCTTGTTTTCAATGAATATCAATGCTGACAGAGGATTCTGGTGGGATTGTGATTACTTTTTCAGATGACTATATAAATAGAGAACAAATGAGAGGACAGATGAATAGGAAATAGGGAGATCTCTATCAGATGGATAAGGGAACAAGAGCCGGATGAAGGAGGGAAAGAGATTATTAGGGAAACTGAATGGAAACAAAGACAGCATGTCTGGAGGGAGAGGAAGGGAAAAGAGGAAAATAAAAAGAAAATACTTAAGACACGTTATGTGTATGTACCAACACACCACAATTATAATCGTTATGTACCGCAATAATGTACTAAAAAAAAAAAATACTAGCCTTCCTCTATATCTTAGTACTTTTCTTGTTGGTGAGGCAAAGTAGCTGACACCCAAAACTAAATGAGAGAATGTTTATTCAGCTCACAGTTTGTAAAGGTTTCAACCCACAATCGGCTGGCTCCAAGGCAAGATGACTTGGCAGAGAGCCATCACAAAGAACTGCCAGGCAGACTGTAGAAAAATAACAAGGAAGAGAAAGGAGGGGCTAGTCTGTTTTTATTCCTTATATTATATGCCATAGTATAATATACCCATCCTAGAACAGACGTAACACTCACACCTTTAGTTCTAGCACTGGACCATGAATCAATCACAAATTCTAGATTCAGTCATCTCTTAAGAGCCTGCTCCCGCGTATTGTATGAGTCTTTGTAGGAACATCTAGACACAAACCATATTACTCTATCACTGTTTTGTTAGATGCTATGCCCTTTTGTCTCTTGCTGGTTCAATTTGTAATGAGCTACATAGATTATTTGCCTTATTTCTGTCCTGATGTAGGTCACTGAATTTTTCCAACTCTAGATTGGAAGCTTTTATTCCATTTTTGGAAATATTCATCACTTATATTTTAAACAAATTCTGTCCAATTCTCATCTGCTTTTGAACTTAAGTTACACAAGAGTTGTACTATCCGTTACTGTTCCACAGATCTCTGAGGCTCTAGTCACTTTTCTTCAAAATTTTTGCTCTCTAGTTTTAAAAATGCCTATTGATCTTTTTAAAAATCAATAAATACTTTTTCAGTCACCTCACCCAGTTAAACTCATCCAGTGATTGTCATTATAGTTATTGAACTCGTAGGTTCTCAGTTTGGCATTTTATTCTTTTCAAAATTTCCATTTCTTCAATAAGTCCATTTTTTTTCCTTTAATCACACCTTTCTTTAATTATATCATAGGTTTAATAGTTGTTTTTTAGTCTTTGCCTAATAATGCTAACATTCAGGTAATCTCATGACTTGTTCTGATTTTGTTCTCTATTTTTATTTTTCATTTAGAATATGTATGCGTACGTAAAATATCTAGCAGTATTTATTGCTTGTTGTACATTACAGATGATGTTACAGAGACGTAGGAATTTTCTATACTCCCCTAAAGAGCATGGTATTTTATTTTTAATTTTGTCATTAGGTGGACAGTTGAATACCTGATCATTTTGCACATTATCAAGGACCTGTGAAGTACCAGTGTTCCCAAAACCCTTTAGATGAACAGCTCTGCAGCTCTTGGCTCTCTCCTCTCTGTGGAGGTCAGTAAGCTTTCTGAGGATGGGTTCACAGTAGCCCTTATTCCTGAATGTAGTCATTGCTATCAAATGACTTCTCTCTGGAGTCTCAGCTGGATGGAGCAGGTCTTAATGAGAAGGTAGTGATCCCTATGGAAGCTGGAAAGGTACTATTCAAACACTAGCATTTGATGTTACATTCTCAAACCCTGGCAGCCAACTCTGATCAGACTCTAGTATTTTGCTTCATACATATACTACTCAGATCCCACGTAAGAGATTTTGGGGAGGTAACGTCTCCTCTCTATTTCACCCCTACACAGAACCAGAACTTTTTCACCCTGCAGAACACTGGGTGTGGCCTAGACTCCTGTTCCTGACACTCTGTTTGGAAAAGGTCCTCGCTGGAGCACAAGGACAATTGTCTCACTACGAGGAGCCTCTTTGTGTTTTCAGAGATCTTTGACTTGCACTACTTATGTCCATCTGTGGCAATCATTGATTCAACTATTTTGTGGAGCTATTTTGTTACTTTTGGTGATGCCAGTCAAGTACCAGTGTCTGATCCTTCTCTAATATTATTTAACATATTCTTTAGATTCAAATTATCCCAATAAAATGGCAAGGCAAAGTCAAAGGAGTGACTATTAAAGTATTTAATATGAATATCATGAATTTTGAATGTTAACATTGTTATATAACATTAATAGATTTCTCATATTTAGGCAAATGACATGTAGAAATATAACAATGTTATTGAAAAACTATTTAAAACTACAACCAGAAATCTAAATTTAAACCTAGATATAGGTCACTGCACAGTATTTGTTTACCAACTAATATACACTTTTTAGAGAACAATAAGGTTATATTTTAGAAAATGTTAAGAAAACATCAATATTCTCATCCAAGCACACCCTAACAAGAAACAGCTACCAACCAGAACTTCTTTCTATGGCTGTTCCCCTACCTGTGTGTATTCCCTCTAGTGAACATAAGTAAATGATTCCAGATATCATAAACAAATTGTTTCCTTCATGAGACATCTTTTATACATTTTGACCAAAGCCACCTATGTGTCTGTGTGTGTGTGTGTGTGTGTGTGTGTGTGTGTAT